ATTTGCTGGAGTTGCTGATATTTATATGACCAAAAAGTAACATGATTTTTTTTTTTAACAAAATGATGGATAATCAAGTTGCTGCAGTCCAGTAAGTGTTCATCTTGAAATATTACTAACTACATAACAGTTATTCTTACGTTTACTTTATAAAAATCAGTAACGATTTCACTGCAAAGCGACCCACGTCCTGAAGGGGGACGTTTTTACAATTATTAATGCCTTGTACTTGCTTAAAAAAAAGTTGGCATGTTGTAGACTGTGTACAGCAGGTTTTCAGCAAACATGTTGATCTTCTAGGGGCCTTAGAAATTGGCGTATCAAATATGATACAGAAGTCCCCATAAAACCAGCATCCAAATTGCAACATATAACGTGAAATGGAAGCAGTGAAGAGGAAGCATCTTCTCAACGTGATAAATGTTTAGCACTACCATTATACTTGTGATTTATTTGCTTAATATGTATTTGTGAGCTGCAAGATAAGCTTAAGTCACATATAGTTAGATAGGCTGGCTAATGTAAAAAGAGAGCGTTCTTGAGAGGAAACCACATGGACGTGGGGTGCTGCCAAAACTTAAAACAATTACTGTGTTCATGCACAGCTCTTTCCCTATTTCTCTCAGTGACATTAAATGTGGCTGTGTTTCATTGAGATTCTGGAAATGGTTTGTCTTTTTAAATCATTTATTGTTTGCTATGTTTATTCACTCAGAGGATCTTGGCTTCCCCAAAGCGAGCCTCTCTTTTTGATAATGCTAGGTGACCATTCGTATCAAACAAGTGTCCGAACACTACAACGAGAAGGTCGTACTAGTGTTCGGACACTTGTTTGGGATGTCATGTTTCATCTCATAGGCCATTTATATAATATGATATAATGAATAAACCATAGACTGTTTAGTGCTTTGTCTTCCGTGAGAACTTTATTCATGTCTCCATTTCCCCAGGGTCACACGAAGGCTGCAGGTCTCTGCCAGCACTAAATCAAAACTGAAAATGAATGTTGACTGATTAGGTTACTTTCAAATTGGGGCTCAATTAGGGTTTGCTAATTGTCCTTTCTGGTGTGAGAATCTCTTTGGGGAAAGCAAGGGAGGGTTTGGACCAAAATACTCTTCTCTATTCTAGAACCGAGGTTGTCAAACTTCTTGATGACATGGGCTCCCCAAATATGCCAGATTTGTGTATATAAGTGAAGATTATAAACATATACAGTATTATCTGATAAAAGATTTAGTTTCTGTTCATTTGACACTTTTTCAACCTAGATGTAAAAACATAAACACATTAGAAACAAAGAGAAACAAACTATGGAACATACAATAAAATAATTGGTTAATCTAACGTTTGTTTTGTTTTGATCAAAGACTGGGCAAAATGTTAGCCATATTAACAAGTGAAATTTGTGCCAAATACTGCCATACTGAGTTTGATTGGACGCAGTGTCTATATATAATTGTAAAAAGTGGAATTGTTGAAAGTGTTTTCTTTTTAAAATTATTTTGGCATTCCTTATACATGAATATATGTCAAGTCTGTTTTGACCCACCCTCAATATGTGGGTCTGATATTTCTGGTTTTATATCAGTATTTACAGTATAATATCAGACCATTGCATTCAGTGGCAGGTGTTGCAGTTGTTGGTAATTGAGTTTGGTAAATGTAACTACAGTGGAACAAATCAAACCATCTCAGCTTTTGAGCAGGACACAGCTTGAAAACAGGACAATATTACGTTTTAAGGCTCCTTACTGGAACCACGGTCTCATGCCGGATATCATAATCCTTTTTCTCAAAAGTTACACATCCCCCCACATCAGCCTCATTATAATAACAGCCCAAAGGCAGTAGCCAGTGTCATTCTCAGCTAATGCTCAACACAATGCTTAAAACGTTAGCGGAAAATCTAATTGTGCATACAATGTACAGATAGTAATTGTTAAAAGTTTGTTTGATTGACTGTTCACATTTGACCTTTTCACATAGAAAGCATAATAATTTGCCAGTGACATTTGTATTGACAAATTGGATTTATAAATGCCTCTGTATCAGTTTATATATTGGATATTTAATTGTGAATTCACATTTCCCGTATTTTTACATTTATTTCACCTTAGTCATCATCTAACACTCACTTAATGTTAAAAAATGCTAATAATTTAACAACACACATTTTTCATACATTTCATATATTATAAGTAACTTTCCCCAACACTGGTCCAAGACTTTCCTATGTGATCCCAGGCTGTTAAACCCCACTGTATGTCGCCACATAGGGTCCTGGAGGGAAACATTTTTTAGGCATCCTAGAAAAACCACAGAGGGTAAAAAGTTGTCTAAAGACTAGTGAGTTCACGTTGTGTAGTTACCATCCAATTTTACCCGCAATTGAGCTTGGCGAGTGTTAATTTTGGCCCCTGCTTTCAACTGCACACAACAGGAGAAGATGTCAGGTTGAACGCCATCAAGATCCTTGCACATGCTGGTGGCATTCAGCGAGCCCCAGGGTGCCTTGCACGAGTTTGGAAACATCCCGGTAGCAGGACAATTTGGGCTTGATTTCTGTCGCTGTATGAGTCAAACTGGACCCACACTAAGATGAAGTGTTTGTGTGTTTGCTGTGTGTGTGTATTTGTCTTCCTGCTGTTTCCTGGACTCCCCAGGCATGTGACCTCTTGGCCCGTGCTTGATTTATTCATTTGAAATCATTTAATCTGATGGGTTACATTTTGTCAAAACACTGTCTCATTAACTGTGGTCCATGCACTCTGTTTCTCGTTCGACCTATTGTACTGCCATGGGGCACCAGAATAAACACACACAGAGCAAAGCGCTTGTGCTAAGAGAGACTGTGGCCATGAATGCACGCTTTGTTCTAAGGTGTGCTGCTGTGGCCAAAAGACGATTAGCAATGTCTTGATTTACTCATGCAGATGGTCTGGTCCAATGGAAGCTGATGGATTGCATTTGAGAAGGTCACGTTAGTTGGACTTTGGGCCTGTCTGCATGCTCTGGCCAGTTTGTTATCTTTCACGAGATGAAAACGTGGAATGATCTGTGAGAGGAATCATTGTGTTTGACATGCCGGACATAAGCCGGTTGATTCCCGTTCAGTGTGGCTTTACTGGCATCGGAAGATCGTCCCAGAGGTGCCGCTTGGTTTTGGGTTATTGTTTATCCTACCGCTGCGGAAAGCTTTTGCTTGAAGCCTCAGTTTGGCTGTTTTCATGTGAATATGTGACTTTTACCAGCAGGCATTGAGTTTGGAGTAGGGTTCATTGGAATGGATGAATCGGCGTCTCTGCTGGGAGCACTGACCCGCAAAGTTCAACCTGAAGAATTTGTGGGCCTGATCTTTCGTTGAAAGATTTTCCATTAAACCGCTAATGTGCATATTGAATATTCTGATCCCACCAAAGATTAGATGCAACTTCAATTGTATTAGTCATTGAGAAGCCCAACATGTCTCTAATATTACCCTTAAGGCAAGACAAAACCATTGCTTTTCATGCAATAGTCAATTTGGGGTATTTTGGCTTCCATAACTTGTCTTCTTCCAGACTAGTGGAAAGAAAACATGCATAATACCCATTTGAGTGTTCCTTTTATTGCACTTTATCTATTTGCTCCTGTAGATTTAAATTACAACACGTATCATTAAAGGCCTTTTTCACAAAATGAGTTATTCTCCACTGAGCCAGAAATCTCTACTTCAGCGTCTACATACACCAAACGTTTGTTTTTTCCAATCTATATTCTGAAGACTTTTACCAAGGGGTTTGTTCATTTATCATTCGTGAGAATGAGAGAACGCAAAAGCATTGACAAATACATTTAAATTGTCCTTCACCATGTCCCTTTAGGGGCTCCATAATTATCTGATTTATGGAGGGATTATGAGAGATCCAAAATTCCTTCAAAAAACCCTCTAATATGTCAACAAAACAAAACAATTTTGAATCTGGCTTTATCCAATGTTCAAATTTCGGTTCTGGAAATGTATGCAAATTAGTGCATATTTAATTAGATATCGCCTCATTTGCAACATATCGAAACATTTGTGAAAACGTTTGTCTTAATGTATTCTGATTAATCAACTGGGGAAGTATGGTGATATCTTTTAGTAAATTGTTTTACTAAATTAATATGGATCCTTTTACATATTTCCAGGGTTCTCAGAAGCGGAAGTCATCATAGTTGGGTAAACTTTTATAGCGGTGAATGGGAGATGACAGCAAATATCATTTTTGTAATTGCATTTGCTCTAAAAGTAGAAACAAATAAAGAAATGCGATAGTGTTAACGTGACTTTCCAAAAGAGGCGAAAATAGAAAAATAGATTGATTACAGCAGTCAGAAGAGAGAAAGATGTCAAATTTGCCAGCACTCCCTCAGTCGCTGTATTAGAAACATTTTATTACTAGATAACCGTGTAAACGCTTCATCACAGTCTGTGAAAAGGGTCCATTTTGCCATCATCATCATCATCTTCCTCTTTTTTAGTTAAAAACCTGTATGATAAAAGTAGTCAATAAAACTTTTGATTTACTATACTACTATAAATATACCATAATATACTCCTGTTGTTGCTTGTTTCATTATTTGACGTTGTGGTCATGTGGACTAGTGAACTTTGATAACCACTGGTCAACATGTACTTTCATAGTTGTATATTGTGCTAAATATCTCCTTTTTTGTTTCACTGAAGAAAGTAAGCAATGGGGTTTTTAATAACATGAGGATGAGAAAATAATGACCGTGCTTTTTTCCCCGGGTGAACTATTCCTTTAAGTGGGAGAACCCTTGAGAAAATAAACATTAGATGCAGATTTGCATGAAATACTGTTTCACTAGTTATACATTTTATCATATCAAAGTTTTCAATGTTGTCGTTTTGTTTCTGTTTATGGCCGTTGGTGTGTGAGGCTTTTCTTTATTACTTACACAGTTTATCTGGCAGTCTGTTCTGTATGCTTATTAAATCTCTATGTTTGCAGGGTTTCAAGACCAAAGATGGATATTTGGTTGTGGCAGCGGGAAATGACCAGCAATTTATGAAAGTGTGCAAAGTAAGCAGAGACCTTTTATTATGGACTCAAAATATGCATATTAATAAATCTAACCAAGGTTTATTTGTACATTTCAGTCACAGTCCTATTTTATAGCTATATGCATTTGTTTTGACTGATGGGAAAAGGCTTCACATTACCTAACAGTTCTGTTATCGAACGTGTCTGTTTGCCAAGGTCCTGAGCATGAACGGTCTGGCCGACAGCCCGAAGTACAAAAGCAACCAGTTAAGAGTCCAGCACCGCAAAGAGCTGCTGCAGATTCTGTCCAAGAGGTACGTCAACGTGAAATCAAAACCAAACCTGTGAGTAATGTGCACCCTTCGTCAGTGCACTTTATTCCAGACAGTAAATGTTAATAGCATCTTTGTAATCATTCATCAAAATGTATTAGCTTGCTCCACTTGACCACCTTTTTCGACTGACGTACCTTCCCACTTGTATGGGCTAATCTACTTCAAAGGGTAAGTTCACCAAAAATCTCATCATTTACTCTCCCTCATGTCGTTCCAAACCCGTCAGACTTTCGTTCATCTTCAGAACACTAAAACGTGATGCGTAACACGAGAATGAACCTCATTGGTTCTTGCTGAAGCTCAAACGTGATGCGTAACACGAGAATGAACCTCATTGGTTCTTGCTGATGCTCAAACGTGATGCGTAACATGAGAATGAACCTCATTGGTTCTTGCTGAAGCTCAAACGTGATGCGTAACACGAGAATGAACCTCATTGGTTCTTGCTGAAGCTCAAACGTGATGCGTAACACGAGAATGAACCTCATTGGTTCTTGCTGAAGCTCAAACGTGATGCGTAACACGAGAATGAACCTCATTGGTTCTTGCTGAAGCTCAAACGTGATGCGTAACACGAGAATGAACCTCATTGGTTCTTGCTGATGCTCAAACGTGATGCGTAACATGAGAATGAACCACATTGGTTCTTGTTGAAGCTCAAACGTGATGCGTAACACGAGAATGAACCTCATTGGTTCTTGCTGAAGCACAAACGTGATGCGTAACACGAGAATGAACCACATTGGTTCTTGCTGAAGCACAAACGTGATGCGTAACACGAGAATGAACCACATTGGTTCTTGCTGAAGCTCAAACGTGATGCGTAACACGAGAATGAACCTCATTGGTTCTTGCTGAAGCTCAAACGTGATGTGTAACACAATAATGAACCTCATTGGTTCTTGCTGAAGCACAAACGTGATGCGTAACACGAGAATGAACCTCATTGGTTCTTGCTGAAGCACAAACGTGATGCGTAACACGAGAATGAACCACATTGGTTCTTGCTGAAGCACAAACGTGATGCGTAACATGAGAATGAACCTCATTGGTTCTTGCTGAAGCTCAAACGTGATGCGTAACATGAGAATGAACCTCATTGGTTCTTGCTGAAGCACAAACGTGATGCGTAACACGAGAATGAACCACATTGGTTCTTGCTGAAGCACAAACGTGATGCGTAACACGAGAATGAACCACATTGGTTCTTGCTGAAGCTCAAACGTGATGTGTAACACGAGAATGAACCACATTGGTTCTTGCTGAAGCACAAACGTGATGCGTAACACGAGAATGAACCACATTGGTTCTTGCTGAAGCACAAACGTGATGCGTAACACGAGAATGAACCACATTGGTTCTTGCTGAAGCACAAACGTGATGCGTAACACGAGAATGAACCACATTGGTTCTTGCTGAAGCACAAACGTGATGTGTAACACGAGAATGAACCCCATTGGTTCTTGCTGAAGCACAAACGTGATGCGTAACATGAGAATGAACCTCATTGGTTCTTGCTGAAGCTCAAACGTGATGCGTAACACGAGAATGAACCTCATTGGTTCTTGCTGAAGCACAAACGTGATGTGTAACACGAGAATGAACCACATTGGTTCTTGCTGAAGCTCAAACGTGATGCGTAACACGAGAATGAACCTCATTGGTTCTTGCTGAAGCTCAAACGTGATGTGTAACACAATAATGAACCTCATTGGTTCTTGCTGAAGCACAAACGTGATGCGTAACACGAGAATGAACCTCATTGGTTCTTGCTGAAGCTCAAACGTGATGCGTAACACGAGAATGAACCACATTGGTTCTTGCTGAAGCACAAACGTGATGCGTAACACGAGAATGAACCTCATTGGTTCTTGCTGAAGCTCAAACGTGCTGCGTAACACGAGAATGAACCTCATTGGTTCATGCTGAAGCTCAAACGTGATGCGTAACACGAGAATGAACCTCATTGGTTCTTGCTGAAGCTCAAACGTGATGCGTAACACGAGAATGAACCTCATTGGTTCATGCAGAAGCTCAAACGTGATGCGTAACACGAGAATGAACCTCATTGGTTCTTGCAGAAGCTCAAATGTGATGCGTAACACTTGAATGAACCTCATTGGTTCATGCAGAAGCTCAAACGTGATGCGTAACACGAGAATGAACCTCATTGGTTCATGCAGAAGCTCAAATGTGATGCGTAACACGAGAATGAACCTCATTGGTTCTTGCAGAAGCTCAAACGTGATGCGTAACATGAGAATGAACCTCATTGGTTCTTGCTGAAGCTCAAACGTGATGCGTAACACGAGAATGAACCTCATTGGTTCTTGCTGAAGCTCAAACGTGATGCGTAACATGAGAATGAACCTCATTGGTTCTTGCAGAAGCTCAAACGTGATGCGTAACATGAGAATGAACCTCATTGGTTCTTGCTGAAGCTCAAACGTGATGCGTAACACGAGAATGAACCTCATTGGTTCTTGCTGAAGCTCAAACGTGATGCGTAACATGAGAATGAACCTCATTGGTTCTTGCAGAAGCTCAAACGTGATGCGTAACATGAGAATGAACCTCATTGGTTCTTGCTGAAGCTCAAACGTGATGCGTAACACGAGAATGAACCTCATTGGTTCTTGCAGAAGCTCAAACGTGATGCGTAACATGAGAATGAACCTCATTGGTTCTTGCTGAAGCTCAAACGTGATGCGTAACATGAGAATGAACCTCATTGGTTCTTGCAGAAGCTCAAACGTGATGCGTAACATGAGAATGAACCTCATTGGTTCTTGCTGAAGCTCAAACGTGATGCGTAACATAAGAATGAACCTCATTGGTTCTTGCAGAAGCTCAAACGTGATGCGTAACATGAGAATGAACCTCATTGGTTCTTGCAGAAGCTCAAACGTGATGCGTAACATGAGAATGAACCTCATTGGTTCTTGCTGAAGCTCAAACGTGATGCGAAACACAATAATGAACCTCATTGGTTCTTGCTGAAGCTCAAACGTGATGTGTAACACGAGAATGAACCTCATTGGTTCTTGCTGAAGCTCAAACGTGATGCGTAACATGAGAATGAACCTCATTGGTTCTTGCAGAAGCTCAAACGTGATGCGTAACATGAGAATGAACCTCATTGGTTCTTGCTGAAGCTCAAACGTGATGCGTAACACGAGAATGAACCTCATTGGTTCTTGCAGAAGCTCAAACGTGATGCGTAACATGAGAATGAACCTCATTGGTTCTTGCTGAAGCTCAAACGTGATGCGTAACACGAGAATGAACCTCATTGGTTCTTGCTGAAGCTCAAACGTGATGCGTAACATGAGAATGAACCTCATTGGTTCTTGCAGAAGCTCAAACGTGATGCGTAACATGAGAATGAACCTCATTGGTTCTTGCTGAAGCTCAAACGTGATGCGTAACACGAGAATGAACCTCATTGGTTCTTGCAGAAGCTCAAACGTGATGCGTAACATGAGAATGAACCTCATTGGTTCTTGCTGAAGCTCAAACGTGATGCGTAACATGAGAATGAACCTCATTGGTTCTTGCAGAAGCTCAAACGTGATGCGTAACATGAGAATGAACCTCATTGGTTCTTGCTGAAGCTCAAACGTGATGCGTAACATAAGAATGAACCTCATTGGTTCTTGCAGAAGCTCAAACGTGATGCGTAACATGAGAATGAACCTCATTGGTTCTTGCAGAAGCTCAAACGTGATGCGTAACATGAGAATGAACCTCATTGGTTCTTGCTGAAGCTCAAACGTGATGCGAAACACAATAATGAACCTCATTGGTTCTTGCTGAAGCTCAAACGTGATGTGTAACACGAGAATGAACCACATTGGTTCTTGCTGAAGCACAAACGTGATGCGTAACACGAGAATGAACCTCATTGGTTCTTGCTGAAGCACAAACGTGCTGCGTAACACGAGAATGAACCACATTGGTTCTTGCTGAAGCTCAAACGTGATGCGTAACACGAGAATGAACCTCATTGGTTCTTGCTGAAGCTCAAACGTGCTGCGTAACACGAGAATGAACCACATTGGTTCTTGCTGAAGCTCAAACGTGATGTGTAACACGAGAATGAACCTCATTGGTTCATGCAGAAGCTCAAACGTGATGTGTAACACGAGAATGAACCACATTGGTTCTTGCTGAAGCACAAACGTGATGCGTAACACGAGAATGAACCACATTGGTTCTTGCTGAAGCACAAACGTGATGCGTAACACGAGAATGAACCACATTGGTTCTTGCTGAAGCTCAAACGTGATGCGTAACACGAGAATGAACCTCATTGGTTCTTGCTGAAGCTCAAATGTGATGTGTAACACAATAATGAACCTCATTGGTTCTTGCTGAAGCTCAAATGTGATGCGTAACACGAGAATGAACCTCATTGGTTCTTGCTGAAGCTCAAACGTGATGTGTAACACGAGAATGAACCTCATTGGTTCATGCTGAAGCTCAAACGTGATGCGTAACACGAGAATGAACCTCATTGGTTCATGCTGAAGCTCAAACGTGATGCGTAACACGAGAATGAACCTCATTGGTTCATGCTGAAGCTCAAACGTGATGCGTAACACGAGAATGAACCTCATTGGTTCTTGCTGAAGCTCAAACGTGATGCGTAACACGAGAATGAACCACATTGGTTCTTGCTGAAGCTCAAACGTGATGCGTAACACGAGAATGAACCTCATTGGTTCATGCAGAAGCTCAAACGTGATGCGTAACACGAGAATGAACCTCATTGGTTCTTGCTGAAGCTCAAACGTGATGTGTAACACGAGAATGAACCTCATTGGTTTTTGCTGAAGCTCAAACGTGCTGCGTAACACAAGAATGAACCTCATTGGTTCTTGCTGAAGCTCAAACGTGATGTGTAACACGAGAATGAACCTCATTGGTTCATGCAGAAGCTCAAACGTGATGTGTAACACGAGAATGAACCACATTGGTTCTTGCTGAAGCACAAACGTGCTGCGTAACACGAGAATGAACCACATTGGTTCTTGCTGAAGCTCAAACGTGATGCGTAACACGAGAATGAACCTCATTGGTTCTTGCTGAAGCTCAAATGTGATGTGTAACACAATAATGAACCTCATTGGTTCTTACTGAAGCTCAAATGTGATGCGTAACACGAGAATGAACCTCATTGGTTCTTGCTGAAGCTCAAACGTGATGCGTAACACGAGAATGAACCACATTGGTTCTTGCTGAAGCTCAAACGTGATGTGTAACACGAGAATGAACCTCATTGGTTCATGCTGAAGCTCAAACGTGATGCGTAACACGAGAATGAACCTCATTGGTTCTTGCTGAAGCTCAAACGTGATGTGTAACACGAGAATGAACCTCATTGGTTCATGCAGAAGCTCAAACGTGATGCGTAACACGAGAATGAACCTCATTGGTTCTTGCAGAAGCTCAAATGTGATGCGTAACACGAGAATGAACCTCATTGGTTCATGCAGAAGCTCAAACGTGATGCGTAACACGAGAATGCACCTCATTGGTTCATGCAGAAGCTCAAATGTGATGCGTAACACGAGAATGAACCTCATTGGTTCTTGCAGAAGCTCAAACGTGATGCGTAACATGAGAATGAACCTCATTGGTTCTTGCTGAAGCTCAAACGTGATGCGTAACACGAGAATGAACCTCATTGGTTCTTGCTGAAGCTCAAACGTGATGCGTAACACGAGAATGAACCACATTGGTTCTTGCTGAAGCTCAAACGTGATGTGTAACACGAGAATGAACCTCATTGGTTCATGCTGAAGCTCAAACGTGATGCGTAACACGAGAATGAACCTCATTGGTTCTTGCTGAAGCTCAAACGTGATGTGTAACACGAGAATGAACCTCATTGGTTCATGCAGAAGCTCAAACGTGATGCGTAACACGAGAATGAACCTCATTGGTTCTTGCAGAAGCTCAAATGTGATGCGTAACACGAGAATGAACCTCATTGGTTCATGCAGAAGCTCAAACGTGATGCGTAACATGAGAATGCACCTCATTGGTTCATGCAGAAGCTCAAATGTGATGCGTAACACGAGAATGAACCTCATTGGTTCTTGCAGAAGCTCAAACGTGATGCGTAACATGAGAATGAACCTCATTGGTTCTTGCTGAAGCTCAAACGTGATGCGTAACACGAGAATGAACCTCATTGGTTCTTGCTGAAGCTCAAACGTGATGCGTAACATGAGAATGAACCTCATTGGTTCTTGCAGAAGCTCAAACGTGATGCGTAACATGAGAATGAACCTCATTGGTTCTTGCTGAAGCTCAAACGTGATGCGTAACACGAGAATGAACCTCATTGGTTCTTGCTGAAGCTCAAACGTGATGCGTAACATGAGAATGAACCTCATTGGTTCTTGCAGAAGCTCAAACGTGATGCGTAACATGAGAATGAACCTCATTGGTTCTTGCTGAAGCTCAAACGTGATGCGTAACATGAGAATGAACCTCATTGGTTCTTGCAGAAGCTCAAACGTGCTGCGTGACACTAGAATGAACCTCATTGGTTCTTGCTGAAGCTCAAACGTGATGCGTAACACGAGAATGAACCTCATTGGTTCTTGCTGAAGCTCAAACGTGATGCGTAACACGAGAATGAACCTCATTGGCTCTTGCAGAAGCTCAAACGTGCTGCGTAACACTAGAATGAACCTCATTGGTTCTTGCTGAAGCTCAAACGTGATGCGTAACACGAGAATGAACCTCATTGGTTCTTGCTGAAGCTCAAACGTGATGCGTAACATGAGAATGAACCTCATTGGTTCTTGCTGAAGCTCAAACGTGATGCGTAACATGAGAATGAACCTCATTGGTTCTTGCAGAAGCTCAAACGTGCTGCGTAACACTAGAATGAACCTCATTGGTTCTTGCTGAAGCTAAATTGTGATGCGTAACACGAGAATGAACCTCATTGGTTCTTGCTGAAGCTCAAACGTGATGCGTAACACGAGAATGAACCTCATTGGTTCTTGCTGAAGCTCAAACGTGATGCGTAACACGAGAATGAACCTCATTGGTTCTTGCTGAAGCTAAATTGTGATGCGTCACACGAGACTGAACCTCATTAGTTCTTGCTGAAGCTCAAACGTGATGCGTAACACGAGAATGAACCTCATTGGTTCTTGCTGAAGCTCAAACGTGATGCGTAACACGAGAATGAACCTCATTGGTTCTTGCTGAAGCTCAAACGTGATGCGTAACATGAGAATGAACCTCATTGGTTCTTGCAGAAGCTCAAACGTGATGCGTAACACGAGAATGAACCTCATTGGTTCTTGCTGAAGCTTAAACGTGATGCGTAACATGAGAATGAACCTCATTGGTTCTTGCTGAAGCTCAAACGTGATGCGTAACACGAGAATGAACCTCATTGGTTCTTGCTGAAGCTCAAACGTGATGCGTAACATGAGAATGAACCTCATTGGTTCTTGCTGAAGCTCAAACGTGATGCGTAACACGAGAATGAACCTCATTGGTTCTTGCTGAAGCTCAAACGTGATGCGTAAAACGAGAATGAACCTCATTGGTTCTTGCTGAAGCTCAAACGTGATGCGTAACACGAGAATTAACCTCATTGGTTCTTGCTGAAGCTCAAACGTGCTGCGTAACACGAGAATGAACCTCATTGGTTCTTGCTGAAGCTCAAACGTGATGCGTAACACGAGAATGAACCTCATTGGTTCTTGCAGAAGCTCAAATGTGATGCGTAACACGAGAATGAACCTCATTGGTTCTTGCTGAAGCTCAAACGTGATGCGTAACACGAGAATGAACCTCATTGGTTCTTGCTGAAGCTCAAACGTGATGCGTAACACGAGAATGAACCTCATTGGTTCTCGCTGAAGCTCAAACGTGATGCGTAACACGAGAATGAACCTCATTGGTTCTTGCAGAAGCTCAAATGTGATGCGTAACACGAGAATGAACCTCATTGGTTCTTGCAGAAGCTCAAATGTGATGCGTAACACGAGAATGAACCTCATTGGTTCTTGCTGAAGCTCAAACGTGATGCGTAACACGAGAATGAACCTCATTGGTTCTTGCTGAAGCTCAAACGTGATGCGTAACACGAGAATGAACCTCATTGGTTCTCGCTGAAGCTCAAACGTGATGCGTAACACGAGAATGAACCTCATTGGTTCTTGCAGAAGCTCAAATGTGATGCGTAACACGAGAATGAACCTCATTGGTTCTTGCTGAAGCTCAAACGTGATGCGTAACACGAGAATGAACCTCATTGGTTCTCGCTGAAGCTCAAACGTGATGCGTAACATGAGAATTAACCTCATTGGTTCTTGCAGAAGCTCAAACGTGATGCGTAACACGAGAATGAACCTCATTGGTTCTTGCTGAAGCTCAAACGTGATGCGTAACACGAGAATGAACCTCATTGGTTCTCGCTGAAGCTCAAACGTGCTGCGTAACACGAGAATGAACCTCATTGGTTCTCGCACGTCAAGCGAAGATGCTTGAGATTCCGTTTAACACAACTGATGTGTGCGTTGATGAATGATTAGATTTAATTTAGGCTTTTAATCACGTGTTCATCATATAAAGCGATCGAGTCTCTTCAGAAAATTTGGACTAAACTGCTCAATAGGCTTTATACACAGCTTCACTACTTCCTGAACTTCAGCCAGCCCTTTGTTTCCTGTCTGTCATTATTGGACAAACTGATTAATCCAGGTGTGCCTGATTATTGTTACTGAGGCCAGGCACACCTGGATTAATCAGTTTGTCCAATAATGCCAGACAGGAAACAAAGGGCTGGCTGAAGTTCAGGAAGTAGTGAAGCTGTGGCATAAAGCCTATTCATAAGGATTAGTTTCACGATCTCTTTATTAACTAAGTGTCAAAGTGGTAGTTGCGTAGCTGTCAATGGAGGGACCGAAATCTCAGATTTCATCAAAAAGATCTTCATTTGTGTTCTGAAGATGAACGAAAGAAGGTTTGGAACGACATGAGGGAGTGTAAATGATGACAGAATATTTCATGAATTAATCCATAATTATCATTATATTTCTACCTGATATTTTAAGACATATTGACCTTGACACACAGGGGTGTCACAAAAGTGCCACTCTATATCATTTCCTACTCTGTTTTAGTTTAGTTTTGTTTGATTGTTGTTTGGCACAGGGACTGTTTTGAGGATGTAAAAACACTCATGATCTACAGTATATTTATAATCTTCCGAAGCCATAGGTCAGCTTTATCTGAGAAATAGACTAATATGTAAGTCCTTATATGCTAAAAATCTGTTGCATCTTTACAGTCTCAATCAAAAGTAAAATGAGTAATACAAACCATTTAATTTGTCTTTAAATGTTCAAACATTTGATGCTGGGAACATTATTGGTTAGAGAAATAGCTTTGGATCTGCAAAGTAACAAACCAAAAACGTCCCTTTCTCTCTGCTACTTTTCTGCTATGGCCTGTCTGATGCATTTTGCGGTTAATGTGTGAGAACTGGAAAAAGCTTTCTGTTAAGAAGCTAAATTAATGTTTTTTGACATTGAAACATTTTGTTCGCACACCCTCAAGACATCCTTAATACGTTTGTCAACAATGGGATTGTTGTGAACCGAAATACCTTAAAGTCTGTACAAAATTCAAAGGGCACATTCTGACTGGGTGAATCAGCGTCAGTCACTGAAGACATGCTTTGTGTGAGTATGTTTATAAAATGAGAAACCTTATATGTTTGTATATTGCTAGAAAAAGAAGCCTGGATTAACTTTAATTATAGTGGGCATATTAAGTCAAATCTTTCAAAAGAGTGTTGGTGGTTTTACACAGTGCTGTTGTCCTGACAGAGAGAGGACACATATGACTTGCATTTGAGCTCATGTTATCGTGTTTTCCAGCACCGCTCCCTTCTGTCCCTGTTCAAACCTTCATTCATGCCTCTGTCCTCCCTCAGGTTCATGGAGGACACGACTAGAGAGTGGTTGAGACGGTTCGAAGGCACCGGTGTCCCCTGTGGCCCTATCAACAGCATCCAGCAGGTGTTCTCCAACCCTCAGGTTAGTGTTGGGGACGCTGGTCTGAAACTGATCTAAAGCTGTGGTTTTGCTTCAGGACACGGATCTTACATTGGACCTAAAGTGGCGACTCAACTCGCTACAGACAAAAGTGTTTATTGTACAAAAGGAAACACAAATGTATTAATATTCTGGTTGTCAAGGCTAACCTGTCCGTGTTGACTGTCCGTGTTGGCTGCTTCTGCAACATAACTAGAACATGACAAAGTAACTTTATTTTGCCCCCCTAACTGCAAAATGCACAGTTATATGGTTCATTGCATTTTATTATTGTTATTTTATGTTATTTGTATACATTGTGCAACACTACATTGAAGCTACATAATAATAATATGAAAAATAACATATAATCTATACATTTTAAATGATTTAAATTATATAATATATATATATATATATATGTATATATATATATATATATATATATATATATATAAAATAAAAGTGTGTGTGTATTTACTCTTAGTTTTTTAAAGAAATGTCAGCATAAAAGAATAATAAACTATATATTTTTGGTTATACTTTACAATAAGGTTGCATTAGTTAATGTTACATTAGTAATGCATTATATTCTATATTATATATTAGAAATATATTTGTTAAAGGGTTTGTTAAACTAAGTTAGTGCTAGTTCATAGAAATTCATTGTAAGTTCATGCAAACTCAGATCCATTAAATCATATTAACAGGTACAACTTTTGATTTGAATAATGTTTTAGTATATGTTGAAACATTAAGATTAATAAGAAGTATTTAGAAGTATTTTTCATTTGTAGTTCATATAAACTAATAAACTAGGTAACTAAAGTTAACAAATGGAACCTTATTTTAAAGTCTTACCAATTTATCCATCCATCCATCCATCCATCCATCCATCCATCCATCCATCCATCCATCCATCCATCCATCCATCCATCCATCCATCCATCCATCCATCCATCCATCCATCCATCCATCCATCCATCCATCCATCCATCCATCCATCCATCCATCCATCCATCCATCCATGGTTAATTTGCATGAATTGTCAGAACTTATTGCCTAACTTTCCAATACTGAATATAAGTTAGAATGTTTTGTTTTTTGTCTCATCTATCGCTACTTGGCGGGTTTTTAGTGGAACATTTTCTAACTTCACTATTGTTGTCATGCTACTGAAAATTGTACAGTAGTTAAGTTAGTAGCATTGCCTGTTAGCTACTTAGTAACTCCCCTGGGTAATAATTAGTGTAATAGATCGTCTAGTAATATCTACAACATCATGCAGTTGTGAAAAACAAGCATCCATTATTACTGCCGGGATAACACTGATCGGCAAAACTTGCTTAGTTACAAAACAAGGGTCAAGACCATTTCTTTGATCCACATCAGTAGCTAATAAAGTGAAAAGTGAAACACTATCATATGTACAGGCCCCTAGAGCAAGGAATTTAACACTGCTGGAATTTGAACCCGTTTTTGTACACCAAAGATGCAGAAGTTTCCTTCCACACATACACACACTGTTTAATTCCTACCACATGTTGGTACAGCGAGTGCTTGCACTTAAAGGTCCCATCAGCCTGTGGAGGCTCTCGCTCTACCGCATCATATGATCGGAGTTAACAGCTATTGTTTTTGTCCTTGGTGATTTGAAACACTCATTGAAGTTCCAGTGAGGCTATAATCAATATTACATTTTTCCTATGTGGTTTGCTATATTTAGCCTTTCACTATACTTTTACTCAAAGAATTTGAAAACATATTAGTCATTCATAGTTGTCTAATCGAAGGCATTTCAACGTTTCGGCAGTTTTTTGCCAAGGAACGACAAGAGAACAAGTATATATGTGTTAGACATTTCTCTCAACAAACTGACAGAGTACCACTATGCATTGTAATATTTTCATCAAAAATATAAATCAATCCCAAAAGTGCCTGTAGTTGTAGATTCACTTAATTCCATCCTTATTGTTTGAAATCTATAAAATAATATTGTAGCCTGATACTATGATAATGTCTTGGAAACGCAGTTGTTTTGTTCTTCATGTCTGCCTTTATTTTTGTCAACATTAGCACTGTCCGAAAAAACATGTTTGGGCCTACACACCGTAGATGGTCTCAGTGATTGTCAATTTGTCTTAGTGATTGTCAATTTGTATAATCAGTACAGTACACCATTAATCAATGTGCCGCAGCTCTACGCTAAACTATGTCAAAACAGCTTCATGTATGTTTTGACATATAGATCAACCTGACCCCATTTGCAGTTATTGTATATTTAAGTTGTCAATCATTGTCAGTGTATTACTTTGCTATTTAATAGATGATCTTACAGTATACCAGGGTCATTCCCCCTGGAGTAGCATGAGGTTACTGTAAGTGCCTCGTTTAAGAGCAAAATAGGAATAATTGTTTAACTCTCGTGGGGTTTAAACTTGCAACCTTTCAGTTACAAGCCGTCCATTTAACTCATCATATCATAATCATAATATCAATAGTATATTTGATAACATGTTATTTTGTTCGAATTTTTGACTTGTCTAACCCTAAAATAGTCTCAGCATTCAGTGTTTTTACAACTGTAAATCTGGTTCGTTCATCTCCAATGACTTGTTGCAAGCAATTTGTCCATTTGAAGACATATTGAACATCCTGCGTCCTTATCGTCTAAAGTTTCACGAGAAACAGCCAGCGCAATTGCGTTCTGGTGAACTTTTGACAGCCGAAGCTGACGATTCCATCTGGAGATCATATCTGTCAGAGGACAACACAAATCTGTTAGCCATTGCTCCTTCTGACCGAACGGCGAAACCAAAAACATCCAGCGTTCACTGGAGAAATCAGCAGTAGCTGCAAGGGCACAGAGGAAATTATCCGACAGACGTGAAGAGCGAGCTAAGGAGATGATTCAGGAGAAGGGACAGCTGCACATGTACAGGACAGAAAACCAGATGGAGAGGATATGGATGGGGAGGTTAGTATTAGAGCAAGATAGAGTGGGTGATATTAAGACTTAGTGGACGAGGAGGAGCGCTACGACTAGACAAATGAGGAAAGCAGATGGAATATGGGTAGGGCAGTCAATGAAACTCATGTAGGTCATGTGACCTGATGTAGGGGTTGAACACTTCTGACCAGAGATGGAAACTAAACCTGGTCAATAAATCTGCCATTGTTCGGGTGACCTTCATCCATAACTTTGGCCTGTTGAAACACTATAATTCAATGTTCTTGCTTCTTCATGCATAACTTAAACTCTTCCTGTTTTTCTTGTCATTTTCCTCTTGTGAAGCTGGAGAATTTACAAAGTTAGCACAAGCGTTATTCAGGATTTCTCAACTATCAGTCATGTCGGCCTCCCCGAAGCCTGGTTGGGGATGTTTGTATTTGAATATAATTTCAACAACTGTGAACATTTAAGTGCTCACAGGCACTTTTGTTCTCACTTGATTATGATACACAAATAAACAATGTTCTACATCAATGGAAACTGATCAACCACACAGATCTTGTTCTTCCAAATGGGATTTGAAGTCGGTTTTTGAGTATTGAGGAAATTATCCTGGCATGCACAGATGAGAACCTCTGGTTGAGCCTCTCATTATTTTCATCTTCCATTGGTCCTTTGAAGCATGTTTGGGTTTTGGTCAAATTACTACAGCTTAATTTATAACCCATTGAACGTAGGGGAAAAATTAATAGCGAAAGTGTTGGCGTTTCAGACTGTCTGTGGAGTTTCCATCGTCATTTTTGTTTTTGACGGACCTTTTCTTTTGGTTCTCTGTCATCCAACAAGTGAAGAATTTAACCATTTGAACTTTTTTTTAATGATATTTATTGGCCCCATTTCTAGTTTCCAGTGATGTTTGCTTGACATTCATTGACTTGTTCCTCTATGCTCCCCAGGCTCGCAGTATCAGGTTGCTTATACTTGATTTTCAAATATCACATCCGTGAAAGTCGGGTTATGTTTTGGTCTGGAGCTATTGGCCGCCAGTCTTGGTCCCCCGGTTGCTGTCTGAATGTAGCAAAAATGCAGAGGTTATCGCCCGTTTCACCGCTGAGCCACACACCTGGATTAAGTCCGGTGAAATATTAATATTAATATTGGATATTTCCAGAGCATCATTCCTGTCGTATCAGGTGCCAGGCACAGATGTTGGACTTGGACAAAATGGCTCCCAGATGTGAGCATGGTTGAATGCTGAGTATTCACACGGATGAAAAAAACAAAAAACAAAAAGGAAGGAGAAGAATTTCTGGAGAAGAGTCAACTCCTTTTTTTGAGCTTCCAAGTCGAACTGAATAACTGGATGTTATTGTTTTGTTTGAGTGCGTGCATGTGTGAATGAATCCCTGTTTATCTGAATCTTGTTTGAACTGCATAATCAGTCTAAGCCTGAGTTTGTTCCAACTATCCATGCAGGGCTCAGAGTGAAATCCACACCGCCCTGATCTCTAGGTTGTTGTGACTTATGAGGTCAAGCTATCATCCTTTTGAAAAATTATTTTTGGAAATGCTCTTTTCTTGGTCTTCCTTTTTTTCAACACTAGAACTACATGACTGCTCAACCACGTTGAAAGCTTCAATCTGTATCATTTAACTTTGTCAATTTTTTGCCTTATGCATGCCAAAATACATCATTCCACATATAGGGTACATCATATCAGTGCTAGTCTTAGACTTCTGGGGGCCCTAACCAAAGCTTTGTCCAGGGGCCCCTATCAGTGCATTCATAACAAAATGACCCCCAACCCCTTAATCTGGTCTTTCAGAGCAATTTCACTGTCATTTCACTGTATGATTTTAGTTGTTGGTTACAGTCAAAAAGGTCAAGATCTATGAGATGGAGTGGGCCAAAAATCACTATTTTAAGGAGGGATACAGACATTTGATGTTTAAAACTAGCTTCTCTTCCTGGTAGTTTCATATTATTCCCGATATTAGTTCTAACAAAAAAACATCTGATGTGTGCCTCTATTACTTAAATGGCCATGGG